ATACTTCTGCTATTTGTCTCAGTAAGAATCCAATTTTGCATTCTAGGGCTAAACATATAGAAATAAAACATCATTTTATTAGGGACTATATTCATAAAGGGATTCTTAGTTTAAAATTTATTAACACATACCATCAATGGGCTGATGTCTTTACAAAACCTCTTTCTGAAGATATGTTTAACTTCATTCTGAAACATCTCAGCATGAAGTTATGCCCAGAATAAAATGTTTTATTTATATCTTAACCTTCAGAACTTTATTATTTTCTGTGAACTACTGATCAACCTGTCCTCAGAGTTTAGAAGTACAGATTGCATCAGAATCTATCCATGAAGATCTGCACGTTTCATTTCAAGGATAGAAGCGTGCAATTCACATAATCAAACAGTTGTCATCCATTCATCAGCTACTTTCTGAGGCTGAACATGCGTTCAATTTTATGAAAGGTCAAAGGCATTGATTGGGTGCATTGAGACACTTGTCAAGGGTAACCGTTCAAGTATCTTTCTGAATCCCCTAATTTCAGGTGTCATTAATGCTTATAATCATGACTAATTATTTCTTTTTCTTACTGTTTACGTTTTCAAGAAACCTATTTAAACTCAAATTTTACTTTTTACAATCACTTCTTTTTACTCTCATCAATATTTTCTCTCATTTCAAGTTCTTGCTTTCAAAAACCCCTTTCATCTTCCTCAAAATCCCGTGTGAACAATGGCTTTTTCAAGTGTCAAAAATGCCAGTGCTCATGAATCTGCTTCAATGGAACAGTATGAAGAACCCTACAGAACGCTCCTCACACCTATTGATAATCTGGAAGTTCTCTCAGAACTGATTATTAATTTTGAAAGCTTGCAAGAAAATAGCTTTAATATGTATGAAGACGTTACTGCTCAAGGATGGAACAGGTACTTTGATCGTCTACTGGGGACAACCTTTCCCATTCTTGTCAAGGAATTCTGGATACATGCTTCTTCTTCAAATCATCAGGTTACTTCTTATGTCATGGGAAAGAAAATTGTTATTACAGAAGACCTAATTGCAAAGCTTCTTGGATACAATGGTGGAGGTGTCAGATGCATTGACATGGCTGAGAGATGCTCTGACATAAGCTCTATTGCAAAGGAAATTTTTACTCATGGACTACCCTCCAATAAAATCAGAGATTTGAAGGATCGCCATAAAATTTGGGCCAGAATCATTCTGGGGTGTATCAACCACAGGAAGCCCACAAGCTCTCCTGATTATATCAACATTGATCAGCAATTTCTGATCTATTTCATTTCTAAGAAGACAAAGGTAAATCTTTCACACTTGTTGTTTAACCATCTCAGAACAAGTGTGAAGGAAACAAGAGAAGACAAAAGGACCAAGAGGGATTGGATTCCCTTAGGAAGGCTCATATCAGATATTCTGACAGAAAATAGGCTGATAGAACATCTGACGGAGGCCCGAGAAATCAACACATTGGAAGCAACCGCTGGGAAGCCCCTGAACACTAAAAATCTGAAGAAGATGAAAATCATTGAGAATATCAAGAAGGAACCTATAGTTACTTCTCATGCAACCATCACTTCAAGAAGGATACCTCTGGATGATTTTCCTATATTTTCTGAGATTGACTCCAAACCAGAAATAATAGTCAGATATTTGGACGCTTGCAAGGAAGATGGTACTGCACCAGAAATCATTATCCAGGACTTACACAAGGCTGCTCCAAAAGTTGCTTTAAAGAAGACCAAGAAGAGGAAAGTAGCAGGAGAAGGACCCTCTTAGAGGACACGAAAAGCTGCCAAAAAGAAAGGTAATCCCTCCCCTGTTTCTGTTATAGAATCAATAAATGTATCAACATCTGAAGCCATGCCTTCTCAACCAGAAAATCCAACTCCCCAAACCTTTGAAGACTTTGACATAGGGTTTGATCCATCATAAACTCTAGGTCTAAATGAAACTCACTCCCTTCCTCAAAATCCAAATCCTGATCATAACCAACCAGAACTTGCCAAAGTTCTGTCTGATATTGATTTATTTGACCAAGACTTTTCCTATCCCTTACCACAAAATCCAAATTCTCAACTCCCAGAAAATCCAAACTCTGATACCGCACTAGAAATTCTGCAACCACACTCTCTATAAACAGAAATTCCTCAACCAGAAATTTCACAACCACAATCACCTCAACAAGAAATTCCTCAACCAGCAATACCACAACCAGAAGATCTGAACTCCAACTCACCACAACTAGAAGCTCAACCTTATGGAAATCAATCTTCTGATATCCATGAACCAGTACCCCACCATGCTACAACAAACCAATCTGAAGAATCTCCTTCAGATTCTGATACAATCCCAATACCTGGAATCACAGAACCTCTTGCGGTTCGCATGCCTCTCACCATTCATGACATTCCAGAAATCCCTTCATCTTTGGAATCCACTCCTCCAAACACCCCCACTAGACCAATCATCAATCCTGACTCTCCCACTCTTTCACCCACTAACAGTCCAACTGACAACATAAGACTTGTCATTGATCCAATTGTGCTGGAAAGACTAGCTTCCATCTCACACAAAACTGCCATTCCCAAACCTAAACCAACTCAAACCACATCATATGTTGGTACAAATTTATTGATTTTTGAAATAAGAATGCATGAATGGATAAATTCTTTGAAGCATGCTAGTCAAGAGATGACTAATCCTACTGCTTTTGATTATATGTGGACAAGATTCAGAAACTGGCTTAGTTCTGAAAGGCTGAAGCTGAAGGAACAGAGTTATAAACAGGTTCAGCAGAACTTTAGTGATAAGCTGAAGGCTTTTCAAGACCAATTTCTGAGCCAACTGTTCAAGGAAGACATCCTCTCGCTGGATAATGCTCCCTGGAAAGAGCATCATCCCTCTGATGAAGTTGAACCAGAATCAGAAAGTCTCTCCCTGACTACAGCTGCTCCAAAAGACATGATCATAGAAAAAGAGATGGTTCACTCAGAAAAAGCTGCAGAATGCTCTGAGCAACGTCCAACTCCTGAAGAAACTCCAGCACCTTCCTTAGTCATGCAAACTTTGGAAGAGTTGAAGAAAGAAAATGCTCTTATCCATGCAAGGTTGGATAAGCAGGAGGAAACGAACAACGAGATTAAAAGTATTCTGGGTAAACAAGAAGACGCCACAAAGGAAATCAGAGGCATTTTGGGCAAGCAAGAAGAGTCAAATACTCAGATCAAGAGCTTGCTGGAAGCGTTGTTCACACGTCTTCCCCCTCCTTCTTAGATTTCTGTTTTAAATCTGTTTATCTGTAACGTTTAATTTTTACCTCTTTTGTTCTGGAACTTGTCATTGCTTCATGTTTTTTTTATATAATTCATCTCTTTTGGTTCTGATTATATTGCCTTTTTGATAACTGACAAAAAGGGGGAGAAAGTAAGATATTTTCAAATAATGGTTTACCGAGACAAAAGTCTCAAATATTATCGGTGAATATGAAGTTACTGATCAAAATATTGAATATTAACGAAAACATAAAGTTACTAATCAAAATATTGAATATTAACAAGAACATGGAGTTATTGATCAAACTATTGAATATTAACGGAAACATGAAATTACTGATTAAAATATTGAATATTAACGGGAACATGAAGTTATTTGTCAAAATATTGAATATTAACGGAAACATGAAGTTACTGATCAAATTATTGAATATTAACGAAAACAAGAAGTTATTGATCAAAATATATTAACAGGAACATAAAGTTACAGATCAAAATATTGAATATTAACGGGAACATGAAGTTACTGATCAAAATATTGAATATTAACAGAAACACGAAGTTATTGATTAAAATATTGAATATTAACAAAAATGTGAAGTTAGTGATCGAAATATTGAATATTAATGAGAACATGAAGTTATTGATCCATATATTGAATATTAACGGGAAAATGAAGTTACTGATCAAAATATTGAATATTAACGGGGACATGAAGTTACAGATCAAAATATTAAATATTAACGAAAATATTAAGTTCTTGATACATTTTTTTTCTATTAATTATACATTCAATTACTTTTTTTCTTCGAGTTTTATAAGCAAAGACCATTTTTAGACTTCATTTCATAAAATTTGAAACACTTCTATATAGGCTTTTTACCAACAATAAATTATTATTTTAAAATTTTTTTAATTTTTTTTTAATTTCTAATTTTTATTCAATATTAATTTTTCAATTTTGTTTATTATTACATTTAAATTTTATTTATACTTTTATATAATACATTAATTATTATAAAACATTTTATTTTAATTTAAATATATATTTTTAATTCAAATACGCGTAACAGAACAATTTCCGAGCATATCCCCTAGTAATTCCTTTTAAAAAGATAAATTTCCATATAAAAATTCAACATAGAATTAAAATAAAATTATACTTCTTAAACAAAAATAGTACTATTATGTTTAAATTAACTTCTAAATCATGTATAATATAAATTCTAGCCACGTGGAGAATTGGTTACTCTTCCTATTTTTTGTTTTAGTTGGCTGCAAAAAAGAAAGTGCGTTATTCATTTCATGCAATCCCAACCCCTTCATCGTTCTCTTTTCAAATTCACAGTTTTAACAAACAAAAAACCACAAAACTTTTAGGGTTTCAAATTCTCTCTCTCTCTCTCTCTCTCTCTCAAATCACTTTCTATGTAAAACCTTCTCCCAAATTCTGAACACATTCCAAACTCCATTCCATTTCTTCCTTCAACAATGCTTTTCCTAATTTCTCTTCGTTGACAAATTTGTTCATCTTTCTGCATGCAGGTACTTCTTTAGTTTCCATTTTGAATATTTTTTTTCCTTTCCTATTGAAAATTTGAATGAAATAATGGTGAAATTGATTGTGATATTCTGTGTTTTCAGGCGATGAATGTGATTTTTATTGATTGTGTTTTTGTGATTGGGTAATGAGAGGTGTCAAATTTGCTGCCAATATATTGAGCAGAGATGAACATTGCTGCTCTTTTAACTTCTGCCGGAATTAATATCGTTGTGTGTTGCGTACTCTTTTCACTTTATTCCATTTTAAGAAAACAACCTAGCAATGTTAATGTATATTTCGGAAGAAAACTAGCCAATCGCAGTTTGAAAGACCTTGATCTTTCGTTCGAAAGATTTGTTCCGTCTCCTACATGGGTTATGAAAGCATGTGATACAACTCAAGAGGAGCTTCTTGATATTGGGGGTGTGGATGCCGTGGTTTTTAGTCGGATGCTCGTCTTCAGGTTTTTCAATCCTTCTTGTATTGTTATAGAATGATTAGTTTGTAGATTGACATTTTAAGATGACAAATGTGTGGCAACATGGCATACATTATGCATGTCATTGCATGCACAAGAGTTTGATTTATGCCTGGATAATTACAAGTGACAATTTTGTTGATTATATATGATGATTAATTGATACAGGTAAATAGGATAAGTCTTAAAGTATTTAAAATAGGTTTTTGGTCCAGTTTATTCAGTAGTCAATAGCGGCCAATAGTGGAGCAGAGCGGAGGCAAGCCGCTCGGAAGAGTCTTAGCGGTGAAGAACACACTATACAGCCTTTTTAGGGTAAATAGTGGATAGAGCATTTCCTGGCCCGGAGCGGTATTTGTCCCGCTATTTTTTCCCCTCTGGAAAACCGAAATTACCCCTTAAATTTAGAATGTTTTAAGGCTAGTTTTGAGATTTTCAATCAAATTTGAGTTGAGACTCAACTCTAGCCTTCTTTCATCGACTTTTCTGCACTTCAGCCGTTCCAAAGAAAAATCACAAGTTCCTCCCCCACCTCTCTCACTTCATATGTTTATAATTATTATTCATGTAAGTTATCCAAAAAATGATTAAATAGCAGCCATCCCGCTATACACTACCTCGCTATCCCAGTTTTAGGGTCAGCTGCTCCGCGCCGCTATCTGGGATTGACTACTCTGTTTATTCTATTTACTTGTGTGAGGATTACATATTTTCTTTCAACACTATGTATATTACAGAAATGAAAGCCAATTGTTAATGACAATTTTAATAGCATATCAAATAAAAAAACTATGCGGAAGTGAGTTTTATAACCTATTGTGTAGTTTTACTAACCGTTGGTATTGTTATTTCTTGCTTCAGTATTCGAGTATTTTCTGTTGCTGCTATCATCTGCACAATTTTAGTGCTTCCAGTGAATTATTATGGTCATGACAGGATACGTAAAGACCTACCTTTTGAGTCACTAGAAGCTTTTACCATTGAGAATGTCCAGCAAGGATCCAGATGGTATGCACAATGTCTTTTTTTTGGATGGAAGTGTGGTTCAAATAGAAAATAATGCGTAGAGGCTAAGAAAATAATGAACAAATGATAAAATATATAAATATAGGTTTCATAGATAAGAACAAATAACTAAAATAAATATTTGAATATGCTGGACCTGTACGTTTGAGGTTGAAAAAGCTACTCCTTTTTCTTGTAAAATAATTTTTTACAGTTTTTATGTTGACCTTTCTCTCTAGGAACATCAAGAATTGTTTATTGGTTTCATTTTTGACAGTTTTGCTTGATGACAGGCTGTGGACTCATTGTCTTGCACTATACATCATATCATTGACAACATGCTCACTTCTTTACTTTGTAAGGATCTAATCTTACATGTCTCTGTTGGGTTACCTAACAAATTTTTTTCCACTTTACAAATATAACTTTTATTGTTCAACAAATTAACTAAAAATAATGTTCAGGAATACAAGAGCATTACTAATTTATGCCTAATGCATATCACTGGATTGCCTCCAAAACCAAGTCAGTTTACGATTCTTGTCCGAGGAATACCTTGGTCCCCTGAGAATTCATACTGTGAAGCTGTGAGGAAGTTTTTCACATATTACCACCCAACAACATATTTGTCACACCAAATAGTGTATAAGTGTGGTGCTGTTGAGAAGATAAAGGTCTGCCTCTTATCTTTAAACACTTTTTTTTTTTGCATATTCAAACTATATTATATATGTAATTTTTGAAACCCTTTATGTTTTTATCACATATAGTATTGTCATTAATAGTTCACGTGTGTGTATGTAGTAGATATTTGAAGGAAATTATTTGGCTCAAGTTAGATTGACTTATATGTGGTCTTATTCTGAAACAAATGTTTTCCTTTCTCTCTTAGAAGAATATTGATTAACCTTCATCTGTGTTACTTACATAAAATTCATTGGTATCGACAATGTTCCCTAGCAGAGGTTTTAACTTTCAATGATTTCGTAAATACACATAGAATTTTTTAATTCTTTTTTTTCCTCTTTGGGTTGTCATTTGTGATCTTTATTAGTTAAAGCCTTATCTTAATAAAAAAAATAGCAATCTTCTTGCTGGTATGACGATTATTTAAACTTTGTTTCTTTTAATCTTCCTCTAGGATGATGCAGAATATATATGTAAGATGTTGGGTGATGGCGTGGAACATAGTTGTAAGCCAAGCATTGTGCAATGTTACTTTTGTGGAGGAACCAATAGTTTTAAGATTATTGCTAATGAAACGGATAGTATACATTCGAGAACAGGCTTAACCGACGTGCATATAATTGCAAGAAAAAAGGTCAATTTTCTAGCTTAGTTGATTTATATATGATATGATTTATGACATTATTTGAAAATATATTTACTATTATTTGACTTAGTTACTTGAACCTCTTTCATTTATACCCAAATTATAGTTATTCACTTAATCATCTTTGACATGTGCCCAGTTTATGCCATGTAAGCAACATTACATTTATAGAATACAATAGTACGGATTTAACAATTTATGCTCATGTTCGGATCTCTATTGCAGGAATGTGCAGCCGCCTTCGTGTTCTTTAAGACTCGGTATGCTGCTCTTATGGCTGCTCGGAATCTTCAAGCATCAAATCCTATGTTATGGGTCACAGAACAAGCTCCTGAACCACGTGATATTTACTGGTCCAACCTTTGCATACCTTACAAGCAACTTTGGCTTCGAAAGATATTTACATGGGTGTCTTCTTTCACCTTCGTGTTACTATTTCTCATCCCTGTTACATTTGCACAAGGCTTGACTCAATTAGACAAGCTTGAGAAAATGTTCCCTTTCTTGACAGATATACTTCAAAAGTAAGATGTTGCACATATATATCACGTGACTTGTTCTTATGATCTCCCTGAAGTTATGGTTGATGTTTATTTAATATCATATAGAATTTTGAAAGTTTAAAATGATAAAAATTTATTGTAAAGTAAACAATACTCTTTTTCCAGGAAATTTATTGTTCAACTGGTGACTGGTTACTTTCCAAGTGTGATTTTGGTTTTATTTTTAATTGGTGTTGGACCAATGATGATGTTACTTTCAGCAGTGGAGGGGCCAATTTCTCGTAGTAGTAGGAAGAGAAGTGCATGCTACAAAGTTTTGTATTTCACTATTTGGAATGTTTTCTTTGTCAATGTTTTTGCCGGGTCTGTTATCAGTCAACTCTCGGTGTTTACAAGTATAACAGAACTACCTTCCCAACTGGCAAAGGCAGTTCCAACGCAGGTAATATATTCATGTTCCAAGATGACAAGTGATAAATTCCTATTAAGAACAAAATAAAGAATTATTCAATCTTCTGTGTTTTTCTATTAACTATAATGTTCTCTTTTTTTTCATGGTGTACAGGCTACGTTCTTCACAACATATGTTTTATCATCAGGGTGGGCAAGTCTAGCTTTTGAGATTATACAACCGTTTGCTCTTTTTTGTAACATATTCCAAAGACTAGTACTCTGCTCTGGGCAAGATTCTTATAATGGCACCCTAACTTTTCCTTACCATACAGAAGTTCCAAGAATATTGCTATTTGGATTTCTAGGGTTCACATGTTCTATTCTTGCTCCCCTGATACTTCCGTTTTTACTGTTCTACTTTTTCCTCGCATACATCGTATACCGTAACCAGGTTAGTATTTTCACCATGTCTTTTGTTCTTTTCTTCTCCATCAAGTTAATTGTGTTCAATCTTCTACTTAGGAGCATGTCTAGTAGTTGGTCATTTGACATCCATTTAATATCATCAATTGCAGATTCTCAATGTTTATATTACAAAATACGATGGTGGCGGACAATTATGGCCTATTGCCTTCAACACAACGATCTTTTCATTAGTTGTGGCACAAGTTATTGCACTTGGGGTATTTGGAATAAAACGATCATCAATTGCATCTGGATTTACCATTCCATTGTTGATTGGTACTTTTCTATTTAACCAATATTGTAGGCAACGGTTTCTTCCAGTATTTAAGAACAATGCAGCACAGGTGCAGTCTCTTACTCTCTCACTATATCACCCTTCACTCCATTGTTTATCATTTTCCTGTTTAAAATTAACACTTTTAGCTCTAGGTTTTTATCGACATGGATCACAGAGATACAAATAGTAGAAGGATGGATGAGATTTATGATCAATTGCATTCAGCATACTCCCAATTCAGTTCTAACTCCCCTCAACCTGGATGTTTTGGTTATCCAGGAGACAGAGAGCGTGCTCAGAATCGTCCGGTCCCATTTGATATGGAGAGAGGTTTGCATCTATTTAATGGTAGAGATTTTACTTTTATATTTAAATTAAAGATATGACTGAAAATTTGAAATTTTTTGTTTTTTTATTATGTTTTAGACAAAGAATCCGTCAAACAAGATATATCATGGGCAATTCATCGATAGCGATTTTGTAAAAATCAGTCTTAGGCGTGTAGATATTATGAAAATCATGGTGATTGCTATAACCGGAAGTTGTGTGCGGGTAAATTTAGATTATCCTGATAAAAGTACCTGTACAAATATAGGAAAAAGACCCTTTCCATAATGTTTAGTTGAGCAACATAGTGAATATATTTGTAATTATCATATTTTCTATATAATTGTATATTTTATGATAAAATAATTACTCTTATAATATTTTTTCTACAAGTCATAAAAATAAAACTATTTCTTTCTACCGTGATTGTGAATAAACATGTCTTGTAGTCTAGAAGTTCTAACTCAACTTATAAGTGTCGATATTGTTATGCTGAACACCATCAATCCGGCTTGAACCTGGAACCTTAAAGTTATGTGAGTTTTTAGTAGCTATAGTCATTTTGTCTATTGACAAAAAAAAAATAGGCATTACACTTCAGAAAGTTGAAAACTCCATATTTTTTTTATAAAAGAGGGTCTAAACGACAAAACCTAAACAATTCTCGTGAAAGAGGTTCCCCACATATCAGTTACATAGGAGTTGAGGACCTCCATGAGGCAAGTGTCAAGAATACGAGTACCTAAACTATGCATAGCTTTTATCTTCGCTAACCCATTCGTGCATTTGTTCTCTTCCCAATACACTTGAATTGTACGATGCTCCTCCACTTTGTTCAATTTCATTTTGATGTGTTTTAGTATCTGCTACCATCCCCATGATGTGATTGTCCTTGGTGATATGCTTCTTTGACCTCTTTGAAATTCGTTTTGAATAATTAAATTCTGGATACCTTTGCTCCGGGCGAGCTTTACTCCTTCAAGCACTCAAATGGACTGCAGCTTCTTAGAGCCTACGTGAACCCAACAATCCATCTACCTCTGTCATCTCTAACTAGCCCTCCATTTCCTTTTTTTTTTTTTTGATTTCCCATGACAGCACCTTCAGTATTGAGAGTCTTTCAATTGATGTCAGGAGGTTTCCATCTAAGATGAATTATAGAGTTATCCTTGACTGTGACTTTCCTCTGCATAAGAATACATTCCTTGTACTGCAAGACACGATCCTTAATACTTCTTTCCAAGTTTTGGGGCATAATATAGTCATCATCATGTGGCCCATGTTTCTGGCCATGTGTTTGCCTCCTGATTGTTGATCTCCATGCTTAAATTGGAAAAGTTTATCACTTGTTTGGTTGAACAAGCTCTTTTCAGACGTGTTTCACACTCACAAGTTCTAAGGGTTTGTTTGGGAGTTTGTAGGAGAAGGGAGGAGAAGATTTTGAAAAAAGAAAATGATTGAGTGAAAATAATTAAAGGATTTTGGCTGGGAGGGCTTTGGAGGGTTTGTTTTTATTCATAACGCCAAAAATTCCTTTGCTTTGGGAAACTCAAAGTTTCTATTGAATGAGTTTTAGAAGATTTTAGAAGACTTACATAAATTTTTCAAATATATGATTATAGTATTTTAAAAACTAAAAAAAAATAGTAATGATACACACTATTTTATCATTCTATACCAAATTATTTTGTCAAATAAATCTTTCTTTGCTCTCATCACTTGTTTTGAAGTTATATTTTGTTTAACATAAATCAAAATGCCATTTGATTAGTAATGAAATAAAATTAAAACCAATTTTTCTTTTTATTTAAGAGAGAACAAAACTTCAAATTATCATTTAACAAAGACAAGGTCAAAGTTCAAAGTCACTCTTGGACTTTGACTGATTCCTAGGTCTAAGTTAAAGTGCAAATGAAAATAAGTAAATCAAAATTGTAAAAAGCAGGAAATTAAATCACCATAATCAAACCTGATTGTTAACTTTATTTCAAGAAAATGATGGTGTATGTCAGTCCCTCCGTCTCAAAATATAATAGAAAATAAAAATCACACTTGTTAAGAAAAATAAAAATATAATGATTTGATTTTTGGTTTTTCTGAAATAAAGTGCTTAAAAATATGTATAAATAATTCTAATTGATTGATAGAAATAATGAGAGAGAAGGTAAATTAAATGTAATTTATATTTAATTTTATCTTGAAAAATATGAAAAATGATTTTTCTCACTCTTATATTTTGAGATAAGAAAAATGTCTTTTTTTCTCTTAAAGGAGGGAATAAATGATTTATGATCAAAGAATTAAATATGAAAGAGTCAACCTTTAGACTAATTATATCAAATACTCAATCATAAAAACAATGAAAACAAAGATTCAGATGACCAACATTGCTCTTGACTATCAATTATCTAAATCTTTGAGATCCGATGCAATGAGATGGCATTGAAAGTTTATGAATAATGAATCTAGTGCAAAAGTCAACTCTTGGACTATTTGCATATGATTATCAATCATAAAGATAACAATGCTTTTCAAAGATACATATGGAATCAAATACTCTTGATTTTTCATCCATCTGGAACCTTGAAAAATGCAATGAAATGAAAAATGTTCTGAGGTTAAGGAATGCTCTTGATTCTTCAATCCTCAGATGAATGAATGCTAATAGGATCAGATGAAATGTTAGAAACTCTTACTTTTCACCTAAATCCTAATGAATGTTTTATGATTGATGGGATGCATGATCAAATCAAATGATCATGCTATGCTGATGCTGATGAAAAACTCAGGGCAAATTTAGGGTATGACCGACTCATTTTTGAAAAGAACGGAAAAAAAAACTTGAGAGAAGGGAGAGTAAACAATATTCTTGAGTCCAAAAGAGAAAGAGAAAAAATGTCCTTGCTTGTAACAATGGATCACATAAAAGGCAACTTTGAAATCAGCCTAATTTCACATGCACTATACACCGTATGAGAGAGACACTTTCTTGTTCTCCTTGCGCATCCCTAACGTTGACTGCTATAGACTTTCACATATGTAAATATCAAGAGCACGCCTCAGTTTTTCAAATTCATTTGCATCTAAGGCTTTATTGAATTTGTCAGCCAACTGTTTTTCAATTGTTATATGCTCAAGGTTCACAACTTCATATTCCATAAGTTCTCTGATAAAATGATGACAAATGTCAATGCGCTTTATTTTACTGTGTTGAACATAATTCTTTAAAATATTTATAGAACTCAAGTTGTCACAGTACAATGCCATGACATCTTGTCCAACATTGTACTCCTTCAACATTTGTTTCATCCAAAGCAATTGAGCGCAACTGCTCCATGCAGTAATATATTAAGCTTTAGCCATAGACAATAAGAGACAATTTTGCTTCTTGCTAAACCAAGATATTAAGTTATTTCCAAGAAAGAAACATCTACCAAATGTGCTTTTTCTATCATCAGCACTTCCAGCCCAATCAACAACGCAATATCCTACTAGTATTGAATTGGTACTATGTGAATAACGAATACCATAGTCACATGTCTTATTTACATATTTCAAAATTCTCTTTACTTGAATGAGATGACTAGCCTTAGGTTTAGCTTGATATATTTCACAAACACCTACAAAGAACGTGATGTCAGTTTTGCTTGTTGTAAGGTAAAGCATACTTCCAATCATGCTTATTTATAAACTTTGATCTACATCTACACCCTTTTCATCTTTGGTGACTTTCACATGTGTTGCAGCAGGAGTTCCCTTGTGACTTGCATTTTCAAGCCCAATTTTCTTCACTATACTTTTAACATACTTGCTTTGAGATACAAAGATGTTGTCTTCCATTTGCTTTACTTGAAGACCAAGAAAATAAATGAATTCTCCTACAAGACTCATCTCAAATTTAGACTTTATTTGTTGGACAAAATGTTCCACCATCTGGTCTGACATCCCAGCAAAGACTATGTCATAAACATAAATTTGGGCTATCATGATCTTTCCTCCATCATTCTTCACAAATAGAGTTTTATCTATTCCCCCCATTCTCTATCTATTGCTGACCAGAAATTCAGTTAATCTTTCTTACCAAACTCTTGAGGCTTGCTTTAAATCATAAAGACATTTCCTTAACTTGTACACATGATCTAGAAAACTAGGATAAATAAATTCCTTTGGTTATTCAACATAAATTTCCTCATTAAGATAGCCATGCAAGAAGGCACTTTTAACATCCATTTGATACAATCTTTGAATTTCACCATGCATGGAATTCCTAGTAAGAATCTAATGGATTCAAATATAACAACTGGAGCAAATGTCTCATACAAATATACTACTTCAATTTGAGATTATCCTTGAGAAACTAATATTTCCTTGTTCCTTCTCACATTACCACTTTCATCACACTTCTTCTTGTAAATCCATTTGGTAGCAATGACATTTATTTTTCAAGTCTTGGAACTAATTCCCATACATTATTTCTTTTAAATTGACACAACTCTTCTTGCATAGAATTATTCTAGAATTTATGAGTCAGTTCTTCCTTGATATTCTTGGGCTCAACCTTAGAAATGAAGCAAGAGTTGAAAATCATATCTCTGGATCTGGTGATGACTCCATTATTCACATTTCCTATGACATTTTTAATGAGATGATCCTTCTAAATTCTGATAGATGATCCCTTATTTATAGGATTTTCTTCAGAATTTATGCTTTCAGACTCAATGTCAGACCCCGTGTCCGGGACATATGCTAAAAAACCAGTTTTTTGAGGAGACACATCATCTTCTTCTTCATCTTCTTCTTCATCTTCTTTCTTATCTTCAAATGTATCATCAATGACAATATTTATCGAACTCATCATTTTCTTTGTATATTTGTTATATACTTTGAATGCTTTACTATTGATGGAATATCCTAGGAAAATCCCCTCATCACTCTTGGGATCTGTCTTCCTTCTTTTCTCACAATCTTTCAAGATATATAACTTGCTACCAAATACATGGAATTGTTTGATAGTTGGTTTTCTTCCTTTCCAAAGTTCATATTGAGTGTCTTTAGTTCCCGATCTTGTGGTCACACAATTGTGAATGTGACAAGTTGCATTCATAGCTTTAGCCCAGAAATAGTAAGGAAGATTATTGGCATGCAA